ATCCCCAGGCAGCGCCCAAACCTCACAGCCATCGGCCCCCAGCCCTGGGGGTGGCATAAAATGGCTCCCAAACAGCAGGAGACCCCAGCCTGCCACAGGCAGAGTGGTCCCACACCGTGCCCCAGCCCCATACCTGCATCCTGGTCTTCACCACGTCCAAGGGCGTGTTGCCAAAGACACTTGCAGCTCCAGCGAGGGCTCCAAACACCCCTGTGACGAAGGGGTTGATGACCTTGTTGGGATTGTCACCTGAGAAGGAGAAGAGGTTGAGGGCAGAGCAGCGGTGTGGGGATGAAGCACGGCATCCCTGAGGGAGCCCGCAAGGCAGATCCCAGGTCTGGCTGCTCATGGTCAGGGCTTGTGCCGTGCTGAGCTTGGGACCAGGGTGTTTGGAGGGCACCGTCCAGCAGCACCAGCCCCGCAGAGCCCATGCAGCACTGAGGCGCTCAGGGTGGGGGTGAAGGTGATGCTCCAGCAGCAGAACCCCTAAGCCTCACAAACTGGGGCCACTTGCCCTGGCTTTCATCTTCATCACGAGAGTCTGAGCCATGAGAAGCAGAGGGTGTGCTGATGGAAAGCCAAGCCCAACTCCTAAGGATGGGCTGGGGGAGCCAGTAGCACAGCTGGGATGTCCTGGGGGGACGGGAGCACCGTACCTTTGTACCAGTTCTTGAGGGAGGTCATGACGAAGAAGCGGATGGCCTGGTTTGATCCTTGCTTGAGAACGGTTGCAGTTAAGCCCTGGTAGGTCCCCTTCAGTCCTGCAGCAAGAGAGAGTGTTGGAGGGGAGCACCAGCCTCACCTGGGCAGAGAGAAACCTCCCCAGGCTGCTGGTCCCAGCCTGAACCCAACTCCCACCTCCTGCCCCATCCCTGCAGCATGGGGGTACGGGGAGGGGGACAACAAGCCACAGCTTCCCCAGGACTTACCCTGTTCCCGAACGATCTCCCGGACACCATGGAAGAAGCCGCGGTATTTGGGCTTGGGGGAGCACTGGTCGTGAATAAACTTTACCTGCGGGGAGACGACACGCTCGTCCCAGCCAAGACAAGGGGGGAATGTGACCAGCTGCTGGCCACCTCTTGCCTTGCTCCAGGGATGGTCCCGAGACCAGAGCCAACCCACACGGTCAGGCAATGCCAGGTAAGACCATGGGGGAAGCCTGTGCTCATGGCCAGCAACGCATTTTGCAGAGGAAAACCTCTGAAACAGCCTCTGCAAGTGACTGTGTGGGTTTTACAGCGATAAAATGGGTGATGGGATGGCTCCTAGGTGGGGGGCTCCTCCCCAGAGTAGGGAAGAGGCCACGGCCACTGGGCCTGACCTCTCCATGGAGCTTTCCAGCACCAGTTCCTTACCTACAAAACCAGCCCAAGCAAACCCACGTGGCCCTCAGGTCCCCAAAAGCCAGGCACCCCTGGCTCCCACCCCCTCCCAGCTCGGCTCGGGTAGGGGTGCTGGGGTGGGGGGATGCTGGCAGCTGCCTCCCACCTTTATGGGCTCCATGGGGCAGACCACCCCCACAGCCTCGGCC